ACCCTCACTCACTCGCCACTGAGGAAGAACTAGTGTTGTCCGAAAGCTCAGGTTCTATTTCTGGCTGTTTACTTACGTTTACTTTTTAGCTGTTGCTTATCATTTTTGTATCTCTACTGAGATCCAGCCATTGCTTCCCACAGCATTGTTGTTTTTCAGTATTTTGCCTTTTAATCTATATATATATGTATATATATATATATATACAAATTTTAAAAAATAATATATCAACTTCAGTTTCTAGAGTTCCAGATTTATTCAGATATGTCTATATAAAATTGCACAGCTAAGTAATATTAATAAAAAAAAAACAAGAAATTTTATTCCATTTTATCTATATTTTTATTTTATTTCTTTTACATCCTATAGCAAATAAATTGCAAATTACACACAGGATAGAATAATGTAAGTCATAAGGCTAAGCTGTCCACACTATCAAATGTTCTTGGACAAAAAACTGCTGTATGGCCATGATGTGCCTATATATGGTCATGATGACCATATTCAGGCATGTCACATGTTTTTGCCAAATAAAATTTGATAGTCTGGACAGGGCAGGCAGGGTAAAGCAGTTATCAATCTTGAGGAAAAACCCTGCTTTGTAGTGACAAGGTTGGAGCCCAGGTCAATGGGATAGGAAGGCAAGCATCTCATGAATCCACCAACCTATTCAACTCCAAATTTTATTTCTCTACTTGTCCTTATTTATTCACATGAATAAAGATGATTTTAGGGAAATAGTTTTATTCACTTCTATTTGAAACAGAATAATACCATTGTGTGAACCACTGATTAGGGACGATCCAACGTCATTGATATAGAATGATCCAACATCATTGTCAGAGTCTGACAAAACTACTAGATGGCTTAAGGAGTCCATTTGGATTTGAAGGAGGGGAAAAAAATACGCTCAACAAGGACAAGGGGCTTGCAAGCTCAATAAAATATTTGATCACCTCATCAAGCCCTCTATGGCTTTAAAAGCAGTGGGAAAAAAGATGGGTTGCCAGTCTGATGAAACGACTAGGTTGGTGGTAAAATGTTAACTGAATGGAAGTGAGTAACATCATACTTTATTGTTCTTAGAGTTGGCAAACAGAATTAATTTAATTAGAAAAAATACAAAATTTTTAAAACAGATATCGCATTCTCAAAATTATTTCAGTCAGTGTCAGCTCAAGTAATTTTAAAGTAGCATTGCTAACTTATACACAAATTTTGTTATTAGTAAACAAACTGAAAGTTAAATCATGAATGCAAAAAATCACACTAAAAATAGATACAAATTGAAAGTTAATTGTTGTAAGATCCTATTAATATTAAATATTTATAAAGATGTTTTATTTCAATTTTAATCATTTTTTGTTCACAGCCTGCCACATGTCTTTAAATTATCTTTCCAGACAGATCCAGGCCCACACAGGAAGTGGTAACTTCTACCATAGGAACACATATACCACATTGTAGCGCTATTCGGATCCGCATACATTCCATCTCTGCGCCCAGTGCATGAGAATACAACTCCCGTAGACTGGGTCGTACCTGCAACCAACGCACGATCATCACAGTCCACCAAATATTCATAATCACAGATGGTCTTCTGCGCGTGCCATTTAGTGCCTTTTGGACATGTGCGCACACGTTGCTGCAACCTTACGTGACAAAGCACAAATTTTGCGCAATCGGTCGGATGAGGGTAATACCCGAAACTTTTCCCTTCGCAAAATTTATCAATCAATTCCTCCTCTTCCTCCTTGTTCTCGTGACTACCTGCGGGAATGCTAATAACGTCACACTTTGCAATACTCGGCCAGTCACATCGCTGTATTTTATCGTTCCAGTGGAGGTCCGCTTGGCATTTTCTTTCATAGTAGCCGTGGTACTTGCATTGGATAAACTTTGTGCAGTCCAATGGGTGTCCATATACGTAACCGTACCGTTTGTTACGGCAGAGTTTCATTAAGTCAACATCAGCTACGAAAGCAAGATATTATTAATGTTAGTTTAAGTGAAAGTGCAGGAAACAGTGAGAGGAGGTGAGATATACCATGTATATCCATGGTGATGTCACATAACAGTATATAGACATATCACAACTATTAAGCTGTCCACACTGTCAAATTTTCTTTAACACAAAACATGTGGGCATGATGACATCACATCATGACCATATATAGGCACATCATGACCATATATAGGCACATCATGACTATATATGGGCATAAAACAAATTTTTTGTCAAAGAAAATTTCACAGTGTGGACAGAGCTTTAGTCACATAAATTTGACCGTGTGGACAGAGTTTAACAAATGTGTTATATCATGAAAATTAATGATAACATGACTCATATTTGTTTCACCGTTAGATGGATATGAGGAAGTGCTGTCAAACACAGAAAGTAAGGTGCCCATGAATTTATAACATTTGTACTGGGTAAATACAAGTGAAAATTTAACAAAAGGAAGTGTTTACATATAAATGAAAGAAAGTAGAGGTTGTGTTATGCTAAAATATCTTGAATTTCTTCTTTGTATACTGTAAAACCTCAAATACCAATGGGGTTAATCACGAGAAGAAGCCCATCTCGAATTGAAGCCCCATTTTTTAGTTTGCAAAAGTTATAAACTGCATCTGGTCGAGTCATCAGCGACTGAATTCCAGAGCCCCCTCTTTATTTTGCAAAAGTTATAAACTGCATCCGGTTGAATCGCCGGCGTAATTCCGGCAACCCCATTTGGTAGTATTAGCAGCCGCTGGTGGGAGGGTAGATGGACACCCAGTAGTAGGAAAAAAAAACCAGCTGAACGAAGGGTGGATGAACTCCTCGGAGTCAACGACCAACCGTGCTTTAGTTTAAGGAATAGGTTGTAGTTTCAAAGGATAACATCAAATTTTTTCAAAATGCCAAACTCAAAGAGCTCAATAACCAAGCGCATTGAGGCTTCTTTGCATTCAACTATTATTATTAAGAAGCCTTGAAAAGAAGCCCATCTTAAAAAGAAGCCCATGGGCTTATTTTCGAGAGTAGTATTAGTACAATACATACAATGACATGAAATAAAGAAATAAAATAAATTAAAATTATGCTTGGTTTATACAGTAGTTTGGGTGATTTAATGCTGATGAATACACTCCATGATACACACTGATGTTACAGTGGCCATATTTATTGTTTTATAATAGTAATTCCAAAAAATTACAACATTCATTTTGAAAAGAAGCCCCCTTTTACTTCACAAAAGTAGCTTAAAAAAAAGAAAGCTCATCTTGAAAAGAAGCCCATTCAAAGTTGGCAAAAAACATAGGCCCAGTGTATCTATTTTAAGTTTTATGGTACAGTTATATTTTATTATTTAACAGAACAATGAAGGTGTGTGCAATCAGACATTATATTAAGTTGTAAAAACTTGACTTGTTTATTGTGATTTTAAAAACCTTTATCCAATGGTTTTTGTACTGTTTTAATTATGCCGACTTAATATTACTTTTACAGATGATCAGCATCAGGTTGTAACAAGAAGGAGGAGGTTAGGCAGGCCGCACACAAAGGGCTTTTAATTTATTCTTTGCTTATTCTGCAACAAAATCACTGTCGGGCCACACGTCCCCTCGAAATTAAAAATGTAAGAAACAAAAACAATCACGCTCAAGTAGTTAACAATTATCCTACTTTGCAACCTAGTGTCACTTACTTAATCATCTGTCTCTTATACACATCTAGATGTGTATAAGCCCCCCCCCCCCCCAATTCGAGACTCCTAAATTCAAACAAAATTTTATCTTACCATTGACTTTGACGTTGAAGAAGCATTGGTTGGTGTTGTTGTATACATCACATGCGCTACATTTCACAGCAGAAATACCGATGCGGAACAGCGAAGGTGACGATGCGTTACAAGATGTTTCCACTTTCTCATTCGAATTATCAGACACAATCGGCATCTTCCATGTGACCCGTCCTCTGTTTGCATTTTCCTTCGCATCCACAGTAATATCACGAGGACATTCAATGCTGGGTGGCTCCATATCTAAATGTGAAGAATTATATTGATTTAAGTAATTATCAAAAAAAAAGTTGTTTTATTATATTAATTAAATTTCATTCTTTTTGTGATTTTGTAATCTTAATTGTGTTACATAAAAACATGACAGATCGTGTCAGTAAAAGGAGATTGGGGGGGGGGTGGATGTTACACATTAAGAGAAATTCTCCTGGATCCAATGCATTGTAATTGTTTTTATATATAATTTGAATGAATGGGGTTTATCATTAATGAGAGCACCTTAGCTCAGTCGGCTTATTTGGTGGTAGCCACTGTGTGTGCGCTGAACCGTGGAGATCTCTAGGTCGCCGGCTCAATTCCCATCACTGCCTCTCCTTGTGTTTCATCTAGAGGGCTGAAACACAAGTTACAATAGCGCACCGTCTTTCGATAAGACGTTTATGCCGTTGGTCCCGTGTATATTTATGGCCAATGATGTGCATGTTAAAGAACGCAGTACACTCTTCGGAAAAGAGTAGGGGATTGTCTCCCGGTGTACTGTCCAATCACCACCAGAAGGACCCCACTGGAAATAAGTCTTCTTTAGACTTTTGTGGGCTATCCTTGGTGTTTACACCGAATAAATCCAATCCAATATGGTAAAAGTACAGTAGTCAGTGATTCATATACAGCATTCATATACAGCACTGCATATCAGACACATCCAGACAGACACATCCATTAACAGCAGAGGTGGCTCCCACAAAATTTACGTGTCCCAACCAAGAGGATAACAAAATCCTCAGTCAGGGTGGCGGAATAAAATCCCTAATGATTTTAATAGGGAGAGTTTTTATGGCTTTGTATGGGCCGAAATTGTGCTTGAGAAAACAAAAAGGGATTGGCAATCAAAATAATGTAATTTGGATTGGCAAATAAAGAATCTTAGAAACGACCTCATCGTGTCATCAAGCAACGGGTCTAGGCCTGGCCAGCAAGGAATAGGGCTTATTTTCCGCTGATCTTAACCTAGATTCCAGGCTCTAATTTTGAGTTACTCACTTTTTAGTTAATGCGCTTAGTGCGTACCATAACAAATTTAATTGGCATCCCATACTCGATTTCTTTTTTACTCCGTCTCTGAATTAACTCACACATTGGTGGCGCTGTCCAGAATTTAAAAAGAAATAACAAAACTTGTGGCAAGTTTACCCTAATCCCTGCCACTGATAAACGAAGATATTTAATGCATTGCATTGAAATGCTTACCTACAACAGCGATACTAAAAACACAGTCAACGCTGTTGCCAGGTTTATCAACTGCTTCGCATGTGACCTCTGTCGAACCAATCGGAAACCTGTCGTCAGGACTGGGGACACATTTAGTGATTGGCCGGACACCAGAATTATCAGATACATTGTGTACACTGAATTTTGGGACAGCCCAAGGAGCACCGGGACTTGTGGGTAATCTCATTGGTTCAGGACAAATCATTTTTGGTGGCTCAATGTCTGTTTTAAAAAATAACATTGATTATAAAATATATTTTCATATAAAAATATTAATATTTATTAATAAATGTGGCAAAGACAAGCCAAACCAGTCACTCGTCGCAAATCCTGTTTCGGAGATAAATGGCCAAGCATGCTGAAATGTCAAAATTTTAGAAATCTATTTTATTGCACTAAACTAACCTTTAGTTATCAATACATCATGCTATGCGGTTATTTTCCCCATTTTCAATGTTTAAACAACAAGTTTAAACGATTTGGTGATGGTTTCTGCCTAAGAAATGGCAAAAATCGTAAGCTTTGAAAGGCTGATTTCTCAAATATTGTTCATTAAACCGCTGTATGTTTAAACTGCTGTAACTTCATAACAAAATGTCGGATTTATTGATTCTTTTACCATTTTATAGCTCTCACTTTACATTTTAACCCTGTATTAATAACTAAAAATTGATTTTTGCGATGAGTGATTGGTTTGGCTGGTCTTTACCACATATGAGGCATGTTGTGGCAAAATGGCTAAGTTGTAGCAAAAATTGAAATTCAAGTTATCGGTATTTTCAAATACCAGAGTATGTGATCTTTAAAATGAGGGGTCATTCATTCAAATTGGACATTTCAAACCAAAGTTATTGGAAAGTGAAAGTCAAGATAAACAGGATTTTAGTAATTGCCTTTCAAGGGTTAATTGTGCATACATTGTTTAATATAATGAACTATGAAAAATAACGTTAAATAAACAATTTGTTAACCACTTCCAGAACTAATACTTTGAGACATGATTAAGACATTAAGACATTAAACTGTTGACCTATACTAAAAAACAAATTTGGATTTTTTAGCAATTTTTTGAGCTCTCATATTTTATAGCTAATTTACTCAATACTGGACTGTGCGACAACTTTACCATTTCACCACAACATGCCTCATATATTAAATATCAAGTTTATTATTACTTAAAAAATATAAATTTATGTTGTTATAGATATTATACTGTTATCATTTTCCTATAAATAATATTATATATTTACTAATATTTACATATTTATTTATTATACTTTCTTTTACATCATTATTAAAATTATATTAGAATTTTTGTATCATTTTTGTAAATTTATTCTAAAGATTTACTTATTATTATATATTTATTACATTATTGATAAATAAATGAGCTGTAAAATTGTACAGTACAATTAACTTGCAGATAATAATAGTATTACAGTATTTATATTGTAGTGATATTCTATATCAAAAAATTACCTTTGACCGTGATAGCAAAAGAACATGGTTCTTTGTTGCCAAACATATCTGTCGCCACACACACTACGGTTGTTATACCGATAGGTATTTGCGATGGATGGTCACACGAGATGTTCACATGCTGCTTGGAATTATCTCTCGCTGAGGGCGCTGCATGAGTTGCCACCGCATAGCTCAATCCTGGGAGTGTGTTAAGTGAATAGTTAGCCGGACACATTATCACAGGCTTTTCATTATCTGTATGAAAATAATAATAATATTAAATAAAAATAATAATAATAATATTAATAAAATGTATTGTATAAGTCAGTTGTGATGTCGTCACTTTCATTTGCACTGAATTTTCATATCCGACTGATCACTACTTTGATATACGGTAGTGCCTCCGATTTTTCGTGATGGAATATATCGGTGCTAAGCCAAGCTATGAACACACATAGTGAATCTAACAAATCTCGCTCTATGGCACTTGTTAACACAAACAAGGTCTAGAAAGGCATAAAGATTACAATGTGAATGACATAAAAGAAATTTTTAAAAATGAGGCAATTCATAATACTGTTTACAATACACTTTAATCTACTAAACACATTGTCTACCAGGAGGCTACGCCTACTTTAATAACCCCTAATAAACTTCGTAAACCACAATCAATAATATCTTCTTCGTATCACAAAGAGCTGTGCGAAGAGTGCCACTACTAATAATACGCACAGCTAATGCAAAAGCACAGTATTCACTGAGCAACCGGCCATTGCAACCAGCAGCTGATTTGTGAATATACAGCAACTGCTGGTTGATTAAAGGGCCATAGAAAAGGTGATGGACGTCACAACTGACTTAAAAAGCAATTGTAGTCAGGTAATTTTGTACATTATAGGAAATGGAAGCCTTATCGGCCATTATTTCCCTGTGGACTTCAGGCAGGTTTTTATTTCAGGAAATAATGGCTCCTTCAGCTTCTATTTCCTATAGTGTACTCAAAACCTGACTATAATTGCTTTATAGATAATAAATTAAATATTAAAGTATTCACAAACTAGACTAATACAAATACTGTTGAAAAGTCATTAAACTGAGCGCTAATCAATGGAGTCTACAGTACAATGTACCTTTGTGCAAAGTAAATGGTCTGTCTATTATTGCAAGGATATTGAAATTCCATTCCCTAGTCATGTGACTATGTATCATGACCATATTTAGGAATGCAACATGTTTTTGTCAAATACAGATTGAGGGGGTGGTGGTGGGGAAGAAGAAGGGAAATTTTTCCCTCCGTCGGACAGGCCTGGACCTCTTGCTGTCCGATGCACAAACAGGTCCTTGGATCAGAAATTAAAAAAAAGAAAAATAATTTGCCTAATGTTGTTTTAACACATTTTTATTATTAATTATTAATTAAAATTTTCTCGGAAGAGGACCACATTAACTTTTATAACAATAATGACTTTCAATAGTAATAATAATAATAATAATAATAACAATAATAATAATAATAATAATAATAATAATAATAATAATAATAATAATAATAATAACAATAATAGACTGTATTGTCAGTTGTGATAAAATTTAATTTCTTCATTGTCTAAGTTCCCCTTAATGTAGGTTTTAATAAAATAATAATAATAATAATAATAATAATAATAATAATAATAATAATAAAACAATAATAATAATAATAATAATTACATATACAACCATTATAATTTTCAAATTAACAAGGAAACATTGACAAAAATGTCAGGTGAAACATACAAAAATGTGTTATTCCCCTGACAGGAACAACACACAAGGAACATATGTCGTAAATCACAATTTAACTCAACTATTAATAATCAACATACCGATCAACACGGGCAAATCGTGGCAGGAGGTATAGTTTATATGCATTATAAATATGAGGTTGTCAATGTCTAATTCTTCCATCATCAAATATTTTTTAAATCTATTTTTCTACCACATTTGAGCTTTGATGCTATTGTAGTGTTTTTTTTTCTCTTTTATCCTGTTTCCAAATTCCTTTGATGCGAGTTTCTCTGCGGCAGGCACGTTAGATCTTCTTTAAACATGGCACAATGCCAATTAGATTGTGCCTAGACAAATTCTATGTAATTCAACATTTTGTTTTGTTTTGTTTTTTTTTTTTAAGTCAAAGGATCATTTATATAGTCTAAGGAAATGACAATACTCCAAGATTTATTTTTTCAACATGAGCATTCTCGTAAATGTCTGTATGTTTAAGGAAATCTATAAATCAAATTATTACAAATTAAATTGTATACTTAATTTACATATCTTTTTTCTTCTTGACTTTTTGGCTGTATATCTATAATTCTTATTTGTTTTGACAAACCAGACTACCTACTCTTATTTGAATATTTTTTCTTTTTTTTTTTGTCATCGTATAATTATAAATGATGATTTAGTGGTCATGGATGGATGGAAGAACCCTGGGAGATATTGCACTTTTTATTGCCTGTTTTCCTCAGTAGTTCAGTTGTAAATAAAAATATATTTAAATAGTTGCTATGTTGGGGAGACAGAAAGCAAATTCAGACTTCGGTGTAACAACCATAAGAAATCCATTAGAGATAATACAGTTGGTTCTTTTGTTGCACAACATTTTAATTTGCCTACAATTTCATTGATGACATTAAATTTGTAATGATAGCTACAGGTTTTAAATCTCTAACTGATAGACGTTGTGCTGAACTACAATGGATCTTAAAATTAATCACTCATAAATTTGGTCTCAATAAAGATCTTGGTTCATTAAAAAAATACTCCTTCACGAAATAGGCTATTGTATTTTATCATATTATGCACATATATTTATATAGTATTATATTTACATTTATAGTACTTATTTGTACATGGTAGAGTTAGGCTACCCATTGTCACTATCACAATCTATATTGCCCACAGTTTTTTTCATTTCTCTAGGCCATTTTACCGCCAACAATGTTGTCTAATGTTACCGATAGTTTATGGTTAATTGGTTACACTTCACACTCGCTCATTAGGACATGCCCATTATCTTTTTTCAGATTGTATTTTGAATTTCTCATTCATACAACTTACGCAGAGGAAGGACACAGGCGTGTCAGAAAATATTATATTAAATATTTTTAATAAATTTTATGCCTCTATATGTCAATGTATGCTATCATTTCATTTTCGTCTGTGTTTATGTTTATATATTTCAGTAAGACATATGTGGAACCCACTGCATCTGATACTATACTATGATCTTTTTAGAATTAAGGCCTGTTTATACTTCAGCGATAACGATAACAATAAAAAAGCTAAAAAGCAATTGTTCATATAGAAAATAAAAATAAGAAAAGTTTTTACACTAGAAAGATTCGATAACAATTTATCAGATATGCGATAACAACATATTTTGACAAATCCAATTAGATGAAGTCATAATCATGAAAAAAAACATTAAAATCGTAGGAGCAGCAACGAATTTATCGTTTTACCATTATTATGACGTCATCTGATTTGATTTGTTCAAATATTTTGTTGTCGTATACACGATAAATCGTCCTAGTGTAAAAACTTCTCTTATTTCTTTTGTTTTCTATATGAACAATCGCTTTTTAGCTTTTTAATCATTGTCGTTGAAGTATAAACAGGCCTTTAAAAGAAACATTTTTAATTGTAATAAGTTGTAAATTTTGCTGCCCATCAAATTGTGAATAAACTGAACTGAATTGAAAAAAATTTTCTTTCACAAAACATGTGACATGCCTAAATATGGTCATGATGACATCACATCATGACCATATATAGACACATCATGACCATATATAGGCACATCATGACTATGGGTACAGTATACAATAGCTTAAACCTTACCAATAACCTTCACGTTGAAGTTGCAATTGTTGCTGTTGCCACTTGCATCCTCAGCAACACAATAAACATTTGTTGAACCAATCTGAAACTGCTGACCACTGACATGGTCACACACAACTTTCACAGTGTTGTTTGAATTATCATAGGTCAGTGGGTTGGGCCACCTAGCGATGCCATAATTCATCCGTGATTCAGTAGTGACGATAACCTCAGACGGGCATGTGATAGACGGTGGTTGCTTGTCTGTTATAATAAAAGACAAATAAATGGTATTATATACCACATACATAGATTCTAGGCATCTGATTGGTTTAAGTGGGCAACAGAAAGTATTATATACTGGATACATAGATTCCAGGCATTTGATTGGTTAAAAGCCAGGCAATATTTTCAGCATGCCCGGCTAGTTAGTCTTTTTGTTTTGCCCTCTCGCTTGCCATAAGTCCCTTATTACTATTATTTTCTCTCATTCTGACAGCGCCAACAAGCAAGTTAATTTTAAGACAGAATAGGGACTTGTAAAACACTGCATGCAGGTACCCGGATGCAAAAAGAATGACGTAATTTTATATTCCGTATTTGGATAAATGGGGGGACTGAAATAAACGATTTCAACCAATCATTATGCTCACATATTCAAAGCCACAAACTTGTATAGAAACTGAGTGTTGACTAGTTAGTAGAACTCAACAACCTGCTAAGCATGCACAAACAAATTCAGGCTTGTAAGTATAATATTTCCTGAGATATTGACTCCCAATAAAAATAAAAGCCACATTTTTTGGGCAAAATTTTGTTCTGACTACCCTCACTAAAATGCAACATATCTCGGAACGACTTGAACCTATGAAGTTCAAACTTCAGATTTGTTCATATGAATGGTTGGGGAATATTTGATAAAAATTTGAAGTGAATCTGAGAGAAACGTGTGTGGGGATCCCAAAATTTAGTTGATTTGAGGTGGAATGAACCATTTACCATAATTGTAAATATTTGTTTTATATACCACTACATTCCCCGTTCTTGAGTCTAGAGGCCTAGGTTAGCCTGGGTTCCAGGCCCCAATTTTGGTTTACTCACTCTTTACTGTGCTTCAGATTTGTTCATATGAATGACTGGGGAATATATGACAAAAATTTGAAATGAATCCAAGACAAAAGTGTGTGGGCCAATGGTTGATTAGAGGTGGAATGACCCAAATATTACCATCCCCATCACTAGCATCATAATCACCACCATTAGCAACAATACAACCATAATCACCAATACAACCATAATCACTGATATAAACATAATCACCAATATAACTATAAACATTACCACTACCACCATTAGCATACTGTAACCACCGCCACCATAATGTGACCACAATTGTCATAAATATCACCTTCACAGAAATCACCATCACTACCCTCATAATCTCCACCATTAGTAACAATACAACCATGATCACCAATACAACCATGATCACCAATACAACCATGATCACCAATACAACCATGATCACCAATACAACCATAATCACCATACAACCATAATCACCATACAACCATAATCACCATACAACCATAATCACTATATACAATCATAATCACCAATATAACCATAATCACCAATATAACCATAATCACCAATACAACCATAAACTTCACCACTACAATGCATTAGCATAACCACCACCAACAAAGTGACTACAATTATGATCAATATTACCTTCACAGAAATCACCTTCACAGAAATCACCATCACTACCATCATAATCATTTCATCGGCAACAATACAACCATAATCACCCATACAACCATAATCACCAACACACCCATAATCACCAATACATCCATAATTACCAATACAACCATCATCACCAATACAACTATAAACATCACCACTACCACCATTTAGCATAACCACACCGCCATGAAGTGACCACAACCGGGTAAACATCACTATAACCAAAATTACCAAAAATACCATCACCACCACCACTAGCATACCCATTACCATTACCTACCATTAACATCATATAAAACAAACATCCCAAACACTGTTAATCATCACTACTAACAAAACTACTAAAACATAACCATGACATAAAGTGAGCTAAACATGGAGGTCATCCATGAGAAGCAAACATAAGGATCAAGATCAATATAATAGAAAAAAAATATGTAGTTTTACTTCGTGAGAAAAAACCCAATTCAGGAAATGATACTTCACATACAGTTACAATTGCACAAAGAAACCAAGACATAATAAGTTCTATACCAGTCACCAACAACATACTGTCAAAGTATGAATGTTCGAGCAGGTAACTATATTTGGTATAGACCTAAACATGGAGGTCCTCGATGAGACGGAAACATAAGAATCAAGGTCAAAATCTAGTTTTACTTTGTTGGAAAAAGCCAAAATCAGGAAACAATACTTCACATATTTACACAAAGAAAGCAAGACATGACAAGTTCTATTACAAGTCATTGACAACATACTTTCAAAGTATGGACGCCCGAGCAGGTAACTATATTTGGCATAGCCCTAAACGTGGAGGTCCTCCATGAGACACAAATATAAGAATGAAAGTCAAAATGATAGAAAAAAAAATATGTAGTTTTACTTTGTGGAAAAAAGCCCACAGAAAATTATACTTTAGCATACAGTTTAAAGACATGACAAGTTTTATTACCAGTCACCGACAACAATAAATGTCTGTCGACCCTGCAAAAATATCTTGGCAACTTTGGCCGCGACCCATAATTTGAATACCGAGACCTAACAACACCAAAATGAATGGAAATTTAAATAGAATAATCACAAATTATGGGTTTCACAAATCCATTAAATACGGCCACAAAATCCTACTTTGTCGAAAAAAAAAAAGCCTCAGCTTTGCTTGCAAGCACAGTCCACCCTCCATTTAAAAATCCTACCTATGGGCCTGCAAACAACCTAATGGATGAAAATATCCTATAATTTTTAATTTTAGATCTGTAAAGCCTGCTTATTAATAGGCCTAAACAACTATTCAAGGATTGCTGTCAGGGTGAGCTTCTTTGAACGAGAACTCTACAAATTAATGGGGAAAATCATATGCAACTTTTACAGAATATGAGGCTGTAAGATCGATTATGGGCCTTCAGCATTCAAAATCATTAAATTGTCAGAGCTTCTGGGGGCTTTGCCCTCTGGGATTCTAACAATTTTAATAACATTAAGTTGGGAGATTTGGCAACCTTATGAAAATGGCGATCATTATCATCATTCCTGCCTAAAACATTCTTGAAAATATGCTGTTGAAGCTCAGTCTGATCCTAAATTCATACAAAAAACATGCTCCTCTTAACCCATTTACCAGTAAACCCTTTAAAAGGGCATTTCAGCGGGTTGGTGAACCACGTTCTGCCAGAGTCTCTCAATAATCCAATTATAAACATCAAAGAAGAATACCTCTACTTAAAGAGTCACTATCACAGCAGGCTTTGCTATTTGTCAATGAATTACCAGTATAGTGTTTAAAATCCAGGCTATAAAATTCTAAAAACCTGTAATTGAAAATTTGGTAAATGGGGATGTTTCCTCATGGTAGACGTAACCGTATTCATTTTCGCAGGCTTGTGAAAACTCCCTATTACTGGATCCTCAAATAGTATAAGTTGCTGCGGCTTACCCTTCACATCAACACGGAAGGAGCACTGAGCATCGTTGCTTGCACCGTCCACTGCCGTGCAGGTGACAGTACTCTGTCCAATTGGAAATGCACTGCCTGAATACGCATCACAGGAAACGGATGGTTGGGAGTTAGAGTTGTCGGAAGCGGTCGGCTGTTCCCAAGTCGATATTGCAAAGTGTACATTGTGAAGAGTGTTTAATTGCTGATCTTGTGGACACTGGATGTCTGGACTTTCAGTGTCTTCAAAACATGAACACAGATGAACATTAAATAATATTGTTATTCCTTTATTATATTTATTATCTATCTGTATTCTTAAGCAATTAGTATAGCTGAGTATGATACACTAGTGAAAATTGTTATATGAAGGTTATATTAATGCATTGTGAAGGGTGGTTTCTAATGAGGGAAATTGAGAAAGCAAGACATGTGTGACATTTTCAAGAATATCAATTTATTATTATCTAACATAATAATAATATTATGTTGTAATAATTATTATTGTTATTTATTCATCACATTATATTATTATCAATGTATTATTAAGCATTTACTATAGTTGTGCATTATACACTAGTGGAAATTGTATTATATGAAGGTTAGATTAATGCATTGTATGAGGGAAATTGATAAAACAAGACAATATGACATTTTCAAGAATATCAATTTATTATTATTTAATAATAATAATATTATGTTGTTATAATTCTTATTGTTATTTCTTTAGCATACTATATATTTACTATCTATGTATCATTAAGCAATTAGTATAGTTGTGCATTATACACTAGTGGAAATTTTTATATGAAGGTTTGATTAATGCATTGTAAAGTGTTCAATTGCTGATCTTGTGAACATTGGCTGTTTGGACTTTCAGTGTCTTCAAAATAAATCTAGAACCAGATCAAGATGAATATTATTGGCAAAAGTTGAGAAAACATGGAAATATGATGAGATGTTCTCACAACAACCAAAAAAAATTTCAAAATATTGTGTATAAATATTCTATATGATTTAATATTTTGTTACCCATTTTATAATAAAAATGCCATAAGGAAATGTTTCATTTTAATGATTACAGTATATTTTATATTTGATTTAGCATTAAAATGGTCGATAACTTATAATATTTGAGAGTGAGATTTTACTAATTTATAATTTATATGTTTTTTTTTTTTGTTTTTTTTGCTACCGTTTGGGGGGAAAATTTCCTTTTTTGCCATCCCTACATACTCTAGTGGTTTAAAGAAATTATCATACCTATGACAGTCACATTAAAAGAACAAAACCCAGTATTTCCACTATAGTCAGTAGCCTCACAGTGGATCACAAGATGACCAATGCCAACTGACACACCATCAACTTGGTCACACTTTGCCACAAGATCTTCAAATGAGTTGTCCACCACGACTGGTGCTGGCCAGGTGACAACACCAACTGCCTCACCAATCGAGGTCGGAAATGTTAATGATGACGGACAATACACCAATGGGCTTCCAATATCTGAAACAAAAGAGAAAATATTGAAATAAATCATACGCAGGAATAATTACTTCATTTCGAAAAAAGTGCCCAAATAATGAACATTTTTTTCTTTGCCACACAATTTGTAATATGCAATTTCTCCTTGCGGTAGAAGGTCAAATCCCCCACTGTGCATTCTGCTTGTATCCTTAGCAATAGTATCGGTTAGCAAACGCTATCGGTTAGCAAGTTGAGCGCGTTTTTATCATCAACCAATCACACGTACGCGTTTACAATTTCCAGTTTCTTATTGGCCAGTGATTCGATTATCATATTTTTGGTATCCGGATCGGGATTTTCTCGTATGGACGCACGGCAGCTAACGGTTAGCAGGATCCGGATCCTGCTAACCGTTAGCAGCCGTGTGAGAACATAGCCTAAGTCTTGAAATGTCCAATTTCAATGAATGACCTTGCTTATTCTTACCTGCAACAGCAACTGTAAAAGAGCAAGATTCTGCATTTCCGTATCCATCAGTAGCGATGCATGAAACGTTCGTCATCTGGAGTGGCAACTTGGAACCAGATGCTGGGAAGCATTTCACGGCAACTGTGCCGGAGTTGTCATAAGCGACCGGATCTGGCCAAGACACCTGTACGGTTGGGTCAATCGCTGCCTTGCCTGTGATGTCATCAGGACAGGTGATATTAGGTCGTACAGTGTCTAATTGAATATAATAATCGAGGTAAGATAAATTTTGGATTGTGTAAATTCTCTGGACTTGCCACTTCAAATTTCTGATTGGTTGGAGTAAACATATGACAATGTCAGTTGTAATACAGTGTACATCAAAGAGTATAAATAGAACAAGAGCGCGTACACCCGTTTGTAAATACATTCCCCGGTGTAGGACACTCGCTCTCGTTTGTATGCTCTTTATTACCCAGTACTACATTGCACATGGTTGGTTTGTTTGTGTATCTGTTTTCAATATGATACAATACATTCGTAGAGGGTAGATTTCCATAATTTTCTTTATCATCATATGTGGTGCAGTGCTGTGTAATGAAGAGCATACAAATGGCAGCAGGCCTAATACTGATGACTGCGTATTGCCTATCATTTTTTTACGCTCTGAATGAGCGTGCTTGGCTCTCTTGATCTATTTATACTCTTTGAATACACATTATTGATCCAGACTTACAGATATGAAGCCCGATGAAAATGTAGATTTTGAAACAAACAAAAATCATTAAAATGATTGCCATTGAAGGTCGATGCAAAATATAATAGTAATATTATTTATGTATCTACTAAATGGTACGATTAATATTTTTCATAATTATTAAAATTTGAGGCATGCCCCTGCAAACCCACTTTATCTGATACATGGCAGGAAGTTGGCATTGATTGTACTAGCATGACTAGGTATACGCCCCAGGGAGCAGAGAAGGTTGCACTTTGTACTGGTTTGCCATTGTATGTTCCCGTGACCAGGGGTACTATGCTCAGCTCCTTTGATCATTCATTTGGAATTGGCACTACAGTATAGGAATAGTAAACAGGAAGCTTTCGATTGAATGACATTGGTTTGATGTAGAACGTAATGACGTCTAAAAGTCAAATCAAATCTACGCATGCTGAGAACGTAGGACGCCCGGGAGGATGGTTACACATCAGTGATTCCATCCTAGGGTTGTGTCGTCAAACAAATCAAAAGTTCTCTAATATAACAATTATGTTACTTTACCAGCAATGCAACAGGAACAGCAACCATCTGCACACGTTGATAGAATGGTTCCCTAAAAATAGCAGAATTACCCAATAGAATAAGCTAGGTTACGTGTAAGAAATCGACAAAAAACAATATAAAATGATTAATTACAGTTTGACTTAATCATTGATCCGATATTTCAAGCCTAATTCATAAAAAAATATTTTTCCGAATCCTGTTACTCCAATAATGTTATTTTTTAATTTTTTAAATATAGTTTCAAATGCTGATATATTTTTATAATCCAAATATTTCAGTTTTTTAGACAGTGTACTGTATTTTTAATTGCAGATTTTATTGCTAAAAACTTAAGTGTGAATAAAATCAGATCAGAAATCTAAAATCTTACCAGAGGACACTTGACTTCAGGGCATGTGTATTTAATGCAGGTAATAACACCATCCCTACAGGCACATTCCTCACAGCCTACCCTCCAAGTTTGGTCATTCTTTAAAAACAAAAAACAGATGCAGACCCTAAACGTGAGGCATGTTGTGGCAAAATGGTTAAGTTGTAGCAAAAATTTGAAATTCAAGTTATTAGTATTTTCAGATACCTGAGTATGTGATCTTAAAATGAGGGGTCTTTCATTGAAATCCATGGACATTTCAAGCCTGAGTTATTGTATTGGAAAGTGAATTTACAGCACTTTTAGAATCAAGATAAACATGATTTTGAGAATTGCCTTGCAAAGTTATTTGTGCATACATTATTTAATAGAATTAACTATCAAAATAACGTTAAATAAAAGACTTGGTGACCACTTCCAGAACTAATACTTTAAAACATGATTAATAAGACATTAAACTGTTGATCTGCAACAACTTAACCATTTCGCCACGACATGCCTTAATTTATTGAATTATTTTTAAATATTGTTTGAATAATACAAAACATTTTATCTGAAAAGAGAAACAAAATGGTTGCTTACACTCTTGAAATGCTTAACAATGTTATACCTGTTTAACCTGGTATCCTGTACACTGTTTAACTTGTTTACCTTGTTAGCTGTTTAACCTGGCATCCTGTACATTGTTTAACCTGTTAATACCTTGTTACTGTTTAACCTGTTTACCTCGTTACTGTTTAACCTGTTTACCTTGTTACTGTTTAACCTGTTTACCTTGTTACCTGTTTAACCTGTTTACCTTGTTACCTGTTTAACCTGTTTACCTTGTTACCTGTTTAACCTGTTTACCTTGTTACACAATAAAAATATAAGTCAATTACCCTATACATGACTCCATTTTCTTCACAAAATGATGAATCTGAAACAGAAAGAATATTTAATTAGAATAACTTTATAAAAATTAATATACAAAAAAAAATATTCATATTTTAAAGAGGCTCTTATATAGCTTGGAGTTCACACTATTCTACAAACAGGGGCTAAAATGAGCCATAGCATCAGGGTAAACCCCCTTCTCTTCAAAAAGACGCAATGGGTGTCAGACATTGGACCTTCATAGTAAGTCCTTATCCGAAAAGACTTGGTTCTACCAAACCAAACACTAGACGAGGAGCAGCTTGAACCACCACCGATATTCTTCTTCTTGTCCACAAATGCATTTGCCCCTGACTATCTTGTCTCTAACATCACGCCTACTCATTCAACCCACAACTTTCACCTTTTTAAATCTCACCTCAAACCTTTTCTCTTGCTTTACCTACATAGTTTCTGTTTTAACTTCAATGATCACTCAATTATTCAAGTTATTTGTTTTTTTCTTAATATCATTTTTTATGATTATTATTTTATTGTTATTTGATTATTATTATAATCATCTGACTTTATTATTATTATTATATAGTTATTTTTTTTATTATTATTACTACAATTATTGACCTATAAATTTATATTTATTTGTTTGTTTTTCATTTGTTGTAAAGTGCTAGTGACAACATGATTTAACCGGCGCAACAGAAATTTAAAAATCAGTCAGTCAGTCAGTCTGCCTACCTATCTGTAGTTAGCGGCGTCCCAGCATTACCACTCAGACACTTGAATTTGTACTACCTATAATAAAATTACCTTTGCAAGTCAGTCCTTGAAGGATGTGACCAGCAGGACACAGACAATTGTAGGAACCCACGCTATTAACACAAGTGTGACTACAGCCTCCATTGTCATTACTGCATTCATTGACATCTGAAGTATAAAAAACAACATACATGTATAAAGATGAAGGTAGACATTTAACTAGTAACTCGCAGTTACTAGTTACGATGTATCATAGTCATGATATGCCTATATATGGTCATGTGATGTCATCATAACTATATTTATTGTAGACATGACACATTTTTTTCAAATAAAATTTGGACACAGACTTTAAATAGGATACAAATGAAACTACCTACTATATGCTAAAAAAAAAAAAATCAATCATATATATAAGGAAAAAATCTTAGTATGTATATTTTTAAGTAACTCATGCATTTTAAATTACCTGTTTTACCTGTGTTTAAATACGTGGCAAGAAACAAATTACTCAATTCAATATGTATGAGAAAAATGATCAATTAACTTTGTCAGGAAAAAATTAAGGAATGAAATAAAAAGAAAAAACAATATTCAATCAAGTACATAGGAAAAAATGAGTAAATGAAAATAAAATAAAACTTTAAAAGTATAGTTTATAAGGTGAGAAATCCCATTGTTCTGACTATCAAAACAATGATCTGTACTGTACATTTTAAAATCTATAGTGCTATCTTTCTTAATTGTATTTACAAGCATTTTTATAAAGAGGTTAGATTTTTAATTATGGTATGATTACTGACTTACCAAACTGGCAGGTCCTCCCTCGGTAACCAGGTGTACAAGAACACATGGCAATTAAGCCTGTTGTAGAACATGTGCCTCCGTTTACACAGTTCAAAGAGCTGCAGCCTATATTTATTGTATTTGCATTACAGGTTGTGGCTATGAAAAAAAAAAACACAAGAGGAATATACAAAAGGTATTCTGGAAATGAAGGGAAAAATCTGTTTTCTCTTATAAAATTCAACAGAAGGTACAAAGTAGCCCACTGCAAACCTTCACCTGAAGTCAGCACTAACCAATGTTTCCCTCTAACAAGATTCCCCTAACAAATTTTGCCAAAACAAACTCTTCATTTAGATAGTTTAAAGGTAAGTTTGTTAGGAGGTGAGTTTATTAAGGGGAAGTTTGTTTGGAAGCGAGTCTTTTTTGGGCGAGTTTGTCTTTAGGCAGGTTTTTTTTTGGTTGAGTTTTTTTTATTGGTAAGTTTGTTAGAAAGCGACTGAACAGGGGAAACTCTGTACCTACAGAGAGTGAGTTTATAAAGGGCGGGGTGAGTTGGCAAGGGACAACATTGCTAAGGGCAAACTGACCGATTCCATTTGTATGTTATATAGATGAATAGACACATTCCACTAGGTTGGTCATGTGATGTATAGTGGGTATAAATTTTGAACCCGCAGCACAAGTGACGCTCAGTAATAGAAGAATGTGTGGTTTCTTTTTTTTTTTTGCTGTAAAGCACATTGGTTGGTTGGAATGCCAGTAAATTGATTTGAATTTTGCCACAATGATTTGCTAATGATCCAAAAGATACTGGCCTCAAACATCAAGATTTTTCGAGAAATGCTGGGCCCAGACATCATAACATTACCTTTTCCAATACTTTCACGCTGATCGCACTGCAAGTTTTCCATAGTTGTACCTACTATATGTCACATGACTGGCTGTAAACAAACCTCGAGGAATTTGTCTATTGTAGGATCAAGTAGATCATGTTCTCAACTGTGTGTGCTCATTAGAATAAAGTACATGATTATCGATTTTAGAACAGGTCAAAGTTCAAACCTTCAGTCCGTGTGGATGGAGTGTCAGTTGGGACTGTACCAATCACTGCCTCTTGTACCGCTCCCCACGCTACAATGTTACCATTAATTCCACAGTTAGTGTATACTGCCCCGATTTCTGCAGCTGACATAGCAAAGTTCCAGATATTCAACTGAAACCAAAATTATCATATTTTCTCTGACAAAAAACTGTTGTATGCCCATATATAGTCATGAGATGCCTATACTGTATATGTCCAGTGTGATATCATCATGACCATATTTATGCATGTCACAATTTGAGTCTGGATAGGGCTTTAAAGGCAGGCAAACTCAATAAGGTATTTTTTTGTCTGTCAGATTTAACAATGTTTGATCAACATTTTTCTCATGAAGTAGATGAGAAAAGATAAAGACCTGTCCAGATTATCAAAATTTATTTGACAAAAACATGCGACATTGACCTTTTTGCTATGCCTGGCTCTCTGGATATTGTTACTTAGAGGACTCCCCTGAAAATCAGCAATGCTGAGCAGGAATTCCTGGTGAAATATTAATTAGGAAAGATAAAGAAAGAATTTGCTAAGATCCTACAAAACAATTAGCATGAATGTACGCAGGTATTCAAATTTTATGGGACAACACACATGTGTTTGTTGGACACGCACATATCCCTGGCACTGTTATGTTTAATTGACACCCTGGAAAGATTCATTCTGGCAAAGAGACAAGAGTGGAACACTTGACACAGTATTCATTTTCTGGTGAGCCTAACCTGGTTAAGGGTTCCGACAAATGCCTCGTTGCGAACAAATGATCCACCGTAGCTATCCTGCTCTTGCCCTATAATCAGTATTCCGCCCCCTTTGATGACATGGCCAGTTTGAAGGCCGGTTCCTTGTTGTTTGAGAACATTGTCCATGTATATGAACCATGTTCCTGACTTACTCTCCCATGTCAGAGCAATATGGTGCCAGTTGGGGTTACTGCAAAAAAAATAACAGAACACTTAGTTATAGTACAGTAAATGGAACTCGGATATGGTATGTAATACAATTGTCAAAAAACATATTTAAAAAAAAAACATAAAAAAATGGCATACATAAATCTATAAACATGCACGTCCTCTTTTACTTTATAGTATATTTTCAATGTATATTACTATAATACAAGAGACTAGTTTTGCTCTAGTTTCTCTATGAATTTTTTTTTTTTGTTTCCAAAATGTTATTATAAAATTGTTATATATAATGTAAGAATTCCATAGCTATAAGATGAATGATAGAGGCAGTGGCATATCTAGGAGATACATTTAGGGGTGCACTCGCCATGAAATCTAGCGCTCCCACCC